ATCTTAATTTCTTTATTTCTACTTTTTCTTTCCTATAAGCATAGCATTTCATTTAACTAACATTATGAAATTCTTAAGCTTTTTTTTTTTTTTTTGCAGAACAATTGCAATGTTTACACTTAATGGAAGATTTTATCACAAGCTGCTATATTGAAATGTTAGTGCCTTTATCCATCCATCCATGTCCCCCATGTCTCCTTATGGCCACTAGACCAAGCATGCAAGAACAGAATATGCAGCCACTCCATTTCACAGAGTTAGAACCCAAATATGAGTCAGATGTTAAGGAAGATGTCACCCCAATGGGCTTGGCAGAGGTCTGCACACATAGATCCTCTTCTGCTGTTGCCCCCTGCTAAGTGCAGAGAAAGGAGTACAAGTATGCACAACAGAGGAAACAGACATTAAAAATAAAATAAAAACAGTAAAAAAAATGAAATCACAAAAATCCCTGTGTATTTGTCACAGGTAAGCTATGCTTTACATTTTAACATACTTTTGAGGTTTTTTAATATATTTTGTTCTCCTATAATTCCTTTTCTCTGCTAAGAACATTAGAAGTCCTTGCCTTTTTAAAAAATCTGGTGAGGCCTACGAAATCCTCAGTTTATTGTTCAGATTAACAGAGAAATGTCCTGATGCTATAGGACAATTCACAATTAATTTAATTTCTTGAGCAATAACCAGTTGGAATATCTCCAAATCTACTAATCTTTCCTTCCTATTTTCCTCCAAGTAAAATAAGTAACTTCAAATTGACTATAAATTTGTCTTTTCTTTTAATGAACTGACTTTGTCAAACCTTAAGAGTGCAATTCTTCAAATAACCTTATTTTATTATGACTTCTGATTCTTGTTCTTTGGGAGATCAAACTTGATTATATTTGTGGCTAAAATCAGTTGCCTTCAATTAAAAAAAATGAGACATATCATACTTGTTGTTGAACAGATTAGAAATCTGCAGATTTCTATAAATCAATTCATATTGGCAGGTAAGGTTTGAGGAATTAAGACTTTAGAAACAGGAAGGGAACCAAAAACTAAAACAAAGCATCTGGAATAGAAGAAAAGTTTCTGAAGTCAAAAGCTCAAATGAGCCTAAGCACAGGAACAAGTGACAATCAAGGAGGGACAGTGGGAGACAGAAGCCATGATGTGAGGCTGTACAGGAGAACAATAGACAAGAGGAAAAAATAAATTCAAAGCATCAGAATAACCTGAGGACTTGATTTTTCAGCAGTGCTGAGCACTACTGCACGTTTGGCCCCTAGTTTTTAATGGACTGGTTCATCACAAAATCTTGCCAAAATACCTGAAGCATTTATGCATCCACCTATTTAAAAAGCAAAAACCTACACAAGAATAACTTTACTTAGATTAAAGGAAGCAACATGTCTAACTAAAGGATAATAAATTTAATTGTCAGGTGTGAACATAAGGTACAAAACCTTAAGAAGGAATAAATGTGTATATTTTCAGCTTGTGTAGCTAAGTGACAGATAAGAGAGTGGCAAAATTATCTACCTTTATCCAGTGTTCACTGTCTTTCTGGGAAAGGGTTGATAAGTTACAGAAAATTGCTAGTCTTCAAGTATGGCTAATCTATTGACAGCATTACTATAAATTAACCCATACAATTTATATAACTATAGCATAGTACAAGCACTCAAACTTGGCAGCTGAGTAGGCATTTCTCAGAACCATGGATCCATCATCAAGATGCCATGAGGTACTTTGAGTTTATACTCTGTATTTTGCCAAGTGATGCAAGTGAGGGGTTGCATTTTTAGCAATGCTGCATTGTGTGAAATTTAAAAATATTAACTTGCAATTTTCAAGATTAGAATGAAAATATCTGATTTCCGATTGTTTTCAAACTTTAATTTTTTATGTCTGCAAAATCCATTCCCATACACAAAATTCCAGGTGTTATAAATAATAAGGCATGTATATGAACAACAAAACAGCTGAGCCATACAGGCCTAGGCAATAAAAGCTGACATACAAAATGACAAAAATTTATGAAAGCCCACGAAATGCATGACAAATGTTGCAAATTGATCAGGTACTACACCACTTTAAATTCATAAAAGCATAAGACAGCAAAAACTATAAATCACTGTGAAAAAAATTATACTGAAAAGCATATAAAAATCATAATGTCTTTCCTAAAAATATGCGCTCAAGACATAATCTAGTGGAAATAATGTACCTCTGATGCTCTTCCCTTAGTAGTGTAGAACCAGGACACTTGTAGTCCCCAAATTTTCTCACTTAGCCATATGTTGGCTGTGCATAAGGAAGCAGACTCTTGCAGTCTGAGCAGAGCTTTGCTGAGCAGCCCCACAGTTTCTGGTTATCCATCTACCCTTTGGTTGCTCCCTGGTTTTCCTGCAGCAACTGGCATCTCCTGCAATCCAGGTATATGGTGAAAAGTTCAACCACTCTGCTAGAAGGGGAGCACTGTAACCTTCCAAGTTATTCTTAGAGTTTTCATGTATTTCTCTTTTATAGAAGAATAGCAGTAGTAATATTTTCATAGTTTTAACATAGGCAAAATATTCTTTCCATTAAAAATAATGGAAAAGCACTGTTGTCATGACATAATGAATACTGGAACAGTTAACAGACTCCTGGAGCACACCAATGATAGATTTTTTCTGTTTATGAACTCTGAAACAAAAGAAGGAGACAAGCAAAAGAACTGCATTGCTCCAAAGATAACATTGTTAAAACTATTTTTTTCTTGTGACACACAATGACTTGTCAAATCCATTTGTACAAGTTCCTGAACTTAGCTGTTATCCAGGTTAAACTAGCTCTGGCAATCAGAAAAAAAAATAAATTTGAATTATATGCAAGGAATACATTTTTTTTGGTAGAATTTATCGTAATGGAGACAATTGGAGATAATGGCTGAAAATAAGCAGAAGCCAGTCTGTGGAACTAGGGAGTGAAATAGAAGACATCCACTTGCTTCAACATATTTATTCTCTGCTACTTTACTTCAGAATTTTACTTTGTTATACTGCCACAGAAACTAAGAGCATTCCTGCCAAGTTCTTTTGTGTCTAACCTACAAAAAGGACTATTTCTGTCTTAAGTTAGTAGCATGATGATATGCCCTTTACCTAATAATGACTTTTTTAATGCCTGGGCACAAATTTACCTTTTGGGCTACCTTTTGTGAAATAAATCACACCTCAGAATGGCTGGTGATTCTATCCAAAGATAGGCATTAGGTTCCCAGTTTTGTATAAGATACATAATAATGGAGAAAAAAATAGGACAGCACTTGGACACAGTACCATACAATAAATAGCTATGTTGCTCATTTAAAATTACACAACAAGAAAAAATAATTAAATTCAAGCCATATTTAAATAATTAAAGCTACCATAGCGAAAATATAATGGAATCATAGAATGGATCAGGATGGAAGGGGCCTCAAAGGTCATTTAGATCCAGGTTGCTCAAAGCCCCATCCAATCTGGCCTTGAACACTTGCAGGGACGGGGCATCTACAAGTTCTCTGGAAAACCTATTCCAGTGCCTCACTTCTCTCTAAGTAAAGAATTTCTTCCTACCCTCTGTAAGTTTAGAGTAATTCCTCCAGGTCCTATCCCTACATGCCCTTGTAAAAAGTTCTTCTCCCACTTTTTTGGAGGTTCCCTTCATGTACTGGAAGGCTGCAAATGGGTCACCTCATAACTCTTCACTTTTCCAGGCTGAACAACCCCAACTCTCAGCCTTTCCTCCATCCTTCTGATCACCTTTGCGGCCTCCTCTGGGTTTGCTCCAGCAGGTCTATGTCTGTCCTGTAATGGAGTACTCCAGGTGGAGCAGACAGGGAGAATAATTTACATGTAATATATCATTATAAACTGCTTTGGAAAATCAAAAGGCTTTCTCAATGCCCTGTACATCCCCACCTTTTGCCAACCTGACCATAGCAAAATAATTAAGTTGGCAGTTCTGTGATGAATTTCATTCCATGTATCCTTTTCAGGACAATGAAACTCTAACTGTTTTGCCTCACCTTTAAACCACCCCTTCGAGTTTTAACCCAGGTTGGTGAGTGCTCAGGCCTGCCCTGTGAAGGGAGCCCAGCTGAGGGCAGACACAGGCGTGCAGGTACCCATGGCTGCTACACACCTTCCCAGCAGAGAAGGGAGCAGGCAGGCGCCTCACAAGGCCGTGGCAGGCTCTGCCCCATGAGGCAGCAGCTCTTGGGCGATGTGAGGGCAGCACCAAGAAAGTCCTGGTGGACAACGAGCTGTCCATGAGGCAGCAGCGTGCCCGTGCAGCCAAGGAGACCAGCGGTATCCCGGCGTGCATTAGGAATAGCACTGCCAGCAGGCTGAAGGAGATGATCACGCCCTTTTATTCAGCCCTGGCGAGGGCTGCACCTGGAATGCTGTGTCCAGTTCTGGGCTCCTCAGTAGAAGACAGGTCGCTCCTGGAACGAGTCCTGTGGAGGATTATTGAGGACAATTAGGGGAGCACGTCTCTTAAGAGGAAAGGCTGGGAGAGCTGGGCCTGTTCAGCCTCAAAACAAAAAGACTGAAAGGGAACCTTATTTATGTCTATAAGGGATATCAAGAGGATGGAGCCAGGCTCTCCTTGGTAGTGCCAAGCAATGGGATGTAAAGTAACGGGAAGAAACCGATGCACAGGAAGTTCCACCTGAATACGAGGAAAAACTTCTTTACTGTGCAGGTGACCACACACTGGAACAGACTGTCCAGAGCAGTTGTGGAATCTCTTTCACGAGAGATATTCCAGACCCGTCGAGATGCAATCTTGTGCATGTGCTCTAGGATGACCCTGTCCGGGCAGGGAGGACCAGATGACCCACTGAGGTCCCTTCCAACCTGGCCCGTTCCGTAACAGGGGCAGCAGGAGGGCGACCCTCCACGCCGGGCGGCCGCAGCTCCCGGGCCCTGCCTGCCGCGGGCATCCCGGGCGCAGGCGCTACCCGGGCGCAGGCGCTGCCCGCTCGGCAGGGGCCGGCGTGGGGCGGCGCTGCCCGGCTGCCCCGGGGTGCCCGGGTCGGTGCCTGCCGCCGCCCGCGGTGACCGCGCTGCTGGCGAGACGGGGCCGCGCTAAAGCGGGGGTCACACGGGCCGGGGAGCGTGCCGGGGCCGGCGCGGGGCGCCGCCACGCGCGGCGGCCGGTGCGAGTCGGCGGAGGGCGCGCAGGCGAACGCCAGAGCTGCTACATCCGGGCTGCGGCGGCGGCACCTGCCGCGGCGGGGGCCTCGGTGACATTGGGGCTCGGCGGCTGAAGGGGGAGGCAGCGCTGCGGAGCCCGCAGAGAGCGAGATTTTCCACCCCATCCACCACACCACCACCACCCCGACACCACCGCCATGGTGCTGGGCACCATCATCACCCACGCGAAGAAGCACCCGGCCGTGAGTACCTGAGCCCGATACTCGGCCCCGCATCCGCCCTTCCCTGCCGTGGCTCGGTGTCCCCGGCCGCGCCGGTCGCCTCCTCCTGGCCCATCCGTCTCTTGGCATTCCTGTGCGTGCCGAACCCCTGGACCGCCCGGAGCTGGCCGAGCAGACACGACCACGTCCCTTTGATCACCGGTTTCTGCGGCCTTGCTCGTGCTGCAAGGCTCGAGGTGGCCCTTTCCGATCTTCTTGCCCACCATTTGCCCCCAGTCTAGCCCTCTCGTGTTTTTGGTTTTGTTATCCGAGTACAGACGGTAGGGGCCATTTTGGCGGTAAGGGACGGTTGTCTGTCGCAGAAACGCGATGTAACGGAATTTTTGGTTTGGTTTTGGCCTCTCTGTTGTAGGACTGTTTTTATCATTCCTGCCTCTTCATAGCTGCTAGTTCCTCAATGACCCCAGGGATACCTTGCGAAAAGGGAACTTATCCCAGGGGTTTAGAGGGCCACGTGTTTGTAAAATCCGTAAGATTGTTCTTTGGCCTGCCATAGCTGATGCCAGGGGTGCTGTGTATCAATACTATTTTGCTGTATTGCAGGATGATACTTAATTTTTTTGTGTTGTTTTTCCAGCTGATCCCTCTGTTTGTGATAATTGGATCTGGAGGTGTTGGTGCAAGCCTGTATCTGATGCGTTTGGCAATGTTCAACCCTGACGTTAGGTATGTATTCAGTAATTCCCAGTGCCAGTCCTCTTGCTGCATATGTCACACTCCACTGCCTTGGGTTTTGTGTTTGTGGACAACTTAATGGCTTGGTCCAGTGTCACCTGGCATTAGGTGTGTGGAGCTTTCCTTGATTTGGAGATCTCTTTGTTTACCATGATACCTAGAGACTGCTGACAAAGGACAGTGCCTTTTTCTGTGGAAACTTGCTTGAATGGGTGATTCAGTTGCCTAATAACCACAGTACATATTTCTTTTTTTTTTTCAATTTGGAAGATAGTGTTAATATTCTCTCACATCTTGCATTTCTCTCAATAGCTGGGACAAGAAAAATAACCCAGAACCTTGGAACAAAATGGCTCCCAATGACCAGTACAAGGTAAAATGAGAAATACAGATTTGCAGGAAGCATCATATTAGAGGTGTAGCCTACTGCTATAGGATGTTTGATTATATGGGAAAGTAGTTGGATGAATGATGTATTCCTTTTGTGCACCATTTGTTTGTCTCTAGAACTCTGAGCAGAGATGGCTGAGTTTGAGGTTTAAAACTCTCTTGGTGGTGGTTTATAATGGGGTGAAAGGAGACTGTGTGAAAGCAGGCATATTTATTGCACTGAAAGGAAAAGAGCAACTGTAAGGGAGAGGAAGAATTTACTGGCTCATAATACTCAGAAATAAACTACAGGGAGAAAGACAAAACCCCAGAAGATCAGTTTTCTAAGCTCTAAACTGTTGGCCTTTACTCAGTGAGAAGCACTGCAGGAAAATGTCAGTGTTTAATGTAACCATGAATTCAGGTCTGCAGGTCTTGATTTTTTGAAAACAAAACAATGTTAACAAAATAATATCAGTAAATAACTGGATGCAAGAGAAATGTTCTTTAGCTAATATTCAGCTAATTTCATTGAACTAATGAGGAAGCATGCAAAGATGTCTGAAACATTTGGTAGTTTACGGGTGTTCTGAAATCGTAGACTCATTTATGTTGGAAAAGACCTTCAAGATTATCGATTTCAACCTTTGACTGAACACCATGTTGTCAATTAGACCATAGCACTAAGTGCTATGTCCAGTAATTTCTTCCACACTTGCAGAGATGGTTACTCTACCCCCACACAGGGCAGTCTGTTTCAATGTATGACAGTCCTTCCTTCCAGTGAAGAAATTCTTCCTGAGGTCCAACATGAACCTCCTCTGATGCAGCTTGAGGTTGTGTCCTCTCGTCTTGTTGCTGGTTGCCTGGGAGAAGAGGCCACCCCCTACCTGGCTACATCCTCTATTCAGGGAGCTCTAGAGAGTGACAACCTTCCCTGAGCTTCCTGTTCTCCAGGCTAAACAACAGCAGCTCTCTCAGATACTCCTCATGTGACTTACTCTCTGTACCTTTCACCAGCTTTATTGTCCTTCTCTGGACATGAATCGTGTTTTAATCATGCTTTACAGAAGTGCTATGTTAGTTGATTGCTATTAAAAATATTTTAAGATTATTTTCAAGCTTCAAAAAAAGCAAACCTACTGTGTTTTCTAAGCTAGTGTCTTGTTTGGTACCATATACTACTATGCCAATCATTGAAATAAGTAGAAAAATCCCACACTTACAAAATAAGAGAGGTTGCAGTTCCCTTAAAAGTCCGAAAAGAAAATTTCATTCTTTGTTTTCATTGCCAGTTCTGGAATGTTGCTGGTTTGTAAATATCTAAACTTGGCAAATCCTGCATAGTGCACAGCACAAATTCTTTTAAAGAGTGCATGACATGTGTGGCATTCCCCTTCTGCCTTAACATACAAACACAGCCTCAGTGTTTGCCATATTTGGGTGTGAGAACCATTGGGGACATTTTTTCCAAATCTGCCTTGTGGGAGATGAAAAGGACATATATTCTAATTAAGGATGACTTTAGTAAAAAGTTCTTGCTATACAAGTCTAGCTTTTGATGAGACTTTTTTTCTATTGTAAACTTCTCTTTGTCATATTAACTTCCTCACTCTTCTTCCAAAGAAGAGTTGATGACCTGAGGATTACTGTAGGAGTTGCAGACAAAGCTGTAATTTGAATGTGCTGTAGGCTGTTGTGTTTTCTTTAAAACAAATTTAAAAAATTAAAAATTGGGTGTAACTAAAAATAATCAAACTGATAGTTATGTGCTTTTCATCTTTTTGTTTTTTTAAGAAAAACTGTGCTATCACATGCTTGCTGTCAAGTCAGGCTGGGATGCCAAAATATGCAGTTTGTTTGCAGTTAGTCTCTCACGCATATGAGTTAATAAACTCATTGTCCTCCCATCACTTTTTGGGTCGTTCTGGATTGCTTGTAACAGGATCCAATTACAATAGTATAAACTGAGCATGTGAGAGGATCTATTCTGACTTTAATTCCTCCTTGTCATCCTTTGCAGTTCTAGATGCAGCTACCTAAACCAAACTTGGCTTTTTTAGCACTGCTCTAAATGTTCCTTTGTGCCTCTGTCTGTTCACAGACACTGTGCTTTGCACCACATGGCAAGCTGGTTTTTGCCTTCAGTATACAGGAGCCATAGATTTTGAGCAAAATGAATAAACTCCTCAGCCCTGTAAAAAGTTCCTCTGAATGGGCTTCTAATTCTGGGGGTTAAGAGGAGACACTGTTGTTTTTTTCTAGTGGAAGACATGACCACTCATTTTAAACGCAGAGGTTCTAATACTGGGTATAGAATAAGTATTAAAAAGTTACTGTTTATCAAAGGTTTTTGTTTATTTATTAGTGCCTGGTTCACAGACTCAAAAAATGTTTTCGGTTTCCTGGTGTAAGTTCAATGATGTATATTTTTAGTAAATACCAGGGAAAATGTGCAATCAAACTTCTTAATTAATATTCTTTCCCTTCTCTTTCCTAGTTTGTCTCGGTTAATATGGATTACAGTCGCCTCAAAAAGGACCGTCCTGACTTCTGAAAACACAACAATGTCCATAAGCTGCACAGAAAGGTCTTCCGGAAGCTGTTCGCACAAGTGTCATGTTTAATCATCCAGGAAATAAGTAAATTTGCCTCACACAGCACCAGGTCATGTGTTTGAAAGTGTTTTGATGAGGCTTAATAAATGTTTAAAACTTGAAGTGTCTGCTCTTTCATTTTGCAAAATGACTATATCCTCCTGTTAACAGTTTCTGCTGTATGGTTTGTCAATAAGCAAAAGCCAATTCATGTTTCCTCTACAAGAAATCAAAGTTGGTGTGAAGTTATGCTCAGTGTGTTGATCTCAGAAAAAAAACTGCATGCTCATGCAGCTATACCAAAATTCAAGAACTTGAAAGCATGTATTTATATGTATGCATATATATTATTTCAATATACCTGAATTTATGTACTTGCCCCTTTAAGAAGTTTTGATTGCAGAAAAGTCAATGCCAACAAGTCATTATCCATCAGGGAGGGAACAGATGTTGCCATATGTTGCTGGAGGGAAGAAAAAAAAACCACACTGAACTCTCCAAAAGGTTTTGTTTCTTTTCTTTCTTTTTTCTCTTCAAGTTAAGCAAGTTGTTTTCAAGTTGTTTTTTAATAAACAGAAAGACAACTTTCAATATTTAAAAAAAAATTTCTACAAACATTGTCGTGGTTTCCTGTGGATCACAGATTTAACGAAGGGAAGCACATAGCAGAAGAGGGTACAGGTTTGGGGAAATAATTAGCTATGTAAGAACAAAAAACACCTTTTAGAAAGGGCAGAATCTTATACTTGCTATGGGAAGACTAAAAGAAAATCTTTGCAAGTCTGTAACTTATGGGGGGTTCTTTGTGCTTTACTGTGAGCATCTGGCACTTCCTTGGATAAGGGGTATTAATTCTGGACTATCTGACAGAGTACAGCTGTTCTTATCTTGATACTCTCTGCTTAAAGTTGACTCCAAGAATATAGATAACTATAGCAACTATTGCAAGTAATAAAGTCAAGTCAAGCAGCAAGAACTTGAAGAAGCAAGACCATGCTGTGGTAATTGCAAAATAACAGATATTTGCAAAGACTTCATATTTTATATGGAACAACCTTGTAGGTAAAATGATGTAGTTTATTTGGTAGCAGTTCATATTATCCTTTTGTTATGAACTGAACCACTGGATTCACTCCCAGTTTTCATTTGCTTGAAAGGCTCTCCTGAAGTCTGAATAAGAAAATGTGTGTTAAGACATGAGGTGTGGTTACAGTGGTAGGCAAAGCCCGTAGGTGTCATTGGGGAATGGTTCCTCTCTGGATCCAAATAGAACTGTTGCAACACTTGTTCAATTTTAAAAGTATGTTGTAAAAGCAGAAAGTGTATTTTATAACCTGATAGCTGGTAGTTCATTTGAATTTTATCCCTTCAAATACAGATTCTCTGAACATTTAGAAAGACCAATATTCAGGAAGTAAATCTGATTCTTGGGTGAGACAAGGTTATTCCTTTTGTACACAGCTGATGAAAGCAGAGGTTCATGTCTTAATAAAGGCACTTCAATGCTTATTTAAAATAAATTTTAACAAGTGCTTAAGGTATTTAAATCTTTAAATACAGATAGACTAAAAAACAAAAAGCAATTAATTTAATGTTACTTGTCTTTGCCTATTACAGCATACTTGCTCCTAAAAATACACAAAAACTTAAAGTCTTCTAAGTTTAATTATTCCAGAAGTTATTATCCTGAGGGGACACTTCCTCCTTTTTCTTGTAGTGATATACTTCTGTTCTATGTTAAATATAGTGGATAATAGTTGCCATTATTTGCCAAACTTAAAAGTAATAAATATCATAATAACCTTTCCTTCCTTTCCTTCCTTCCCTCCCCCCCTCCCTTTCTTTTGTAGCGTGCTGTTGAAAGAGAGCCAGCTTGGCAATATTTTGTCTGCATTAAAATACTCAAGGATCTTTAGAACTGCTTCTTTAAAACCATCACCTATCGCTTTCTTCATGAAGCCAAAGATGGAATTCCCTGAAAACAGCATGAAGAAGTGACTGCAGTTTGGAATATTAGGGTTACATCTTACATTTACCTTTGGCTATTAATTTTTATGAAACAATGAAATCCCATCATTAGTAGGAAAAATGAAATCCTTCATTAACGTCATGGCTTGTAATTTTGTTGAGCAGATGTTGTGTTATCTGAAAGAGGCTGATATTCTGCTGTCTTAGATTTCAACTGAGATGGATACAGCCACTTGATTTCGTTTGTGGCACATTTTTTTTGGAATGGTGAGTGTAGATTTGGTCTTCATGTCCTTTTCATGAGTCACATACAGAAGAGTCATCTCTTATTTTTGCATTAAAGCATTGTGCATGCTACAGCATTGTGCTTGTATGAGATTTCTGTTAACAGAGTCATTCTGTGCCTCCTTATCAGTGATCATGATTATGCAGCAGGGTGATTAAATCTGAAATCAATTCTGCCCATCTAGGATAGAAAAATTTACAGGGTTCTGTTGTTCTGGCACATGAACACATATTTAATACAACATCTTCAAAAATTTATTTGCCTGCAGTAAGGAAAGTATAAAATATCTAGCTGCCTCTAAGAAATTAGAAGGGTGTGCCTGATATTAAAAGAAAAATTTAATTTTTTTGTGGGATTTATAGGCAAATGTCATCTGAGGAATACATTTCAGATCTGTTTTCAACCTCTGCTTTACCTTTAAAGTTAGTTTGGAGTGTGACAATTGAATGACCTTTAAGATAAGGAAATGTATGTTTAATGCTGACTCGCTTTTAAAACTTTGTCAGGAAGAAAGATTGAGAAGTTATTACAGGAATTTTAGAAATGTATTTTGAGTGAGCTAATTGAAAAAATTTAGAGATGTGCAAGTGCAGACAAAGTTATTGTTTCTACTGACTGGCCAGCCTTACTATGGATGAAGCTGCATGAGCTGTAGAACCATTTCTTCAGTACAAAGTGAAGCCCAACAAGTCTGTGACCACTACAGAAAAGAGGTGTTTATTAACATTGTTGCCACAGTAGGGTTTTTAAATATTACTTAATACAAAACTTACTCTTCAGTCTTCTCTTTTGAAATCCCGAAGTCGGTTGACTTGTTGCTCTTGTGTTCCATTCACTTTTCCTCAGAAGTAGTCTTGAAATCAGTATTTAGCCATGAGAAGTTTCTGTGAAGCTCAAATCATTTCATATCCTCCTCTGATCTTTAGGGTTCTTAAGACTGTCTTTGGACACTGCTATGATGCCATATTTCCCAAATGTGTGCTGGTTCTGGTGCTGTGCAGTTTGGAAGAAATTTGTTGGGTTTGTTTTGGTTTTTTTTTTCCCAATAATTTCAAAGTGCTTCTGTCTGTGATTGGTAAGGCTTAACACTTTCTAAGGATGACATGAACCAGTATAGAGCAAGGAGATACAAACCTCTTCCATTCTTGAGAAGTAAATCCATTTTTAGCATCCAGAATAATGTTTATCTGAACCAGAAAAATAATTTGCTTTTTTTTGTTTTTCTCCTTTTTGAAAGTTTTATTTAATCGAAAATATAAAGTAATGTTTAGACTTTCTAAGCTAACATAATTCTCTCAGAAACAAGGTGAAGAGGCTAGGAGATCACCACACTTCAATTTTCTATTTTTAGTCAGAATCAGTGGTGCTTTAGGTAATGTGAACATGAGTATGCAAGTAAAGGCAAGAAAAATATATTCAAACTTTTGATGGTTTACTATCAGCATTTACCTGACATTCATTTCCTACTAGAATTGACACAAGACTGGCAAGTGGAAGAGAGAACAAGAGACAGCAAGTTCTGAAGATGATCAGAAAATAGTTTATTAACACATGGCAATGCATACATTGCAAAGAAGAAAAGAAATTCTGCTGGTAATATTCATGGGTATTGTCAATGCTTTATAACAGTCACCTAAAATAATATTTCTAGGGTCATTAATTTGAATTACTTTGGACAAAATAATGCACTACACCATTTACAGTTCATCACTATAATGTAAAGACAACTTTACAAGAGAACTGCACAAGCCATAATCCAATAGACAAATTTATAGACTTGTTTTTTTCGCATTGGAAGCAAACTAACTATGAACATGAAATGTTTTCTAATTTTAGTTTCTCTACTGCAGGCAAATGAAACAAACTGCTGAGAAGGTAATGAAAACAGATTACTTAATGGTGAAAAATTTGAGTGCCATTCTTTTTCTACCAGTGGTGCCACTGCTGGAATTTAATGGAGTGGCACCAGTGTGTCTGAATGAAGATTTTGATCCCAGCTGTTTAAAAATAGGGTTGAATCTAATAAGATTTCCTCAGTACTGATAGCTTTTTTTTTTCTCCCTACACTGAAAGCTGGAAGATAGAACTTGTTATTAACATGAAGAAAGTGGAATTTCATCCCAGTTTCAAACTTGCTGGTCTAGTTCCATGATGATTTATTTCAGATGTTCTTCATGTTAGGTCAAAAAATTTAACTTCCTAGCTTTTTTTGAAGATTAAGGGAGAAAATTTCAGCCCAGCAATAAAGATAATGTGCTTAAAATGACCAAGGATCATTGAAGCCTTTTTTTAAAATTTTCATGTGAAAGTCATCTCTCTCCCACCCCTTTATGAAAGCTAGGTAAGTTCAGGAAGTATTCCAGGAGGAAAAAAGAAGAGCAACAGACATGTGATGGGATAGACAGATGGAGCTGCATCAGGTTTTACATCAATTACAGTAAATTCTTGGATTTAGTGCAGGAGTTTTCTTAGTTTATGTCCTTCAATTTCTGCATACATTTGTCAATGCAGAAGTTGTTTATTACACCAGCCATGACTGCTTGGCCTATTAGGATGCAGTGAGAATTAGGCTGAGAGTAAAGACAAAAGCATGATATTCCAATGGGTTTAAATTACTGTGCAAAATAATAAAGCAGTAGCAGAATAACTGCAGAACAAGGTCTGGTGCACTGTCTTCTGAATTTAGATTACTAATGACAAGTTTGTATTAGTGCCATAGTGTGAAATAAAAATAAAAAACAATTTTATGGGTCATTTTGAAAATAGCATTCTTTCTTTCTGCATTGCCTCATAGAAGCACAGTTTCTAAAATGTTCCAACAATGTAAAATAAACACGTGAACTGTGTCTGAACTGTATGCATTTTAGTT